GTGCATTCATGTATGTCTATGTGTAAGGAGTGTAAAGGGAATGCATGTTGTGCAATATTGGGGTTCACTAGTTGGCAGCTCTCCAGAGCTGGAGGCACCAGGAAAAAGAGCAAATCCAGCACAGAAATGGGCCCACAGCAGAAGTCAGAGCAGAGGGGCTCTGGGACACCTCCCCATCCTTAACCCTGACCCCCTCCCAGCCTTAGGGAGATACAGAAAATAAGGCATCTGTTTGTTTTTAATTGCATTTTATTTTTCCATCCTTTACATACACATAGATTGTAAAGAGGGGCACAGGGTGGGAGTGGGGAGCTGGCAGGAGCACGGAGCAGTGGGCAGGTGCTGGGGGGACACCCTAATCACTGGGGGAACACCCTAGTCACTGGGTCCTTGGGGGGCTCCCTAAGGCCCCTTTGGTGTGCTACTGGGAAGACAGAGGCTCAGGAGGGTGGGGAACCACAGGCACTAGTCCAGACCCACAGTTCACAAAGAAAGCATCAAAGGGGGCTTACAAAACAGCAAGATTTTACAAAGACCTTACAGTAGCAACATAGAAAAGGGGAGGCAAATTCCAGAAAGCTACAGAACAAGGTAGATAATGTCCTTCCCATATTGTACAAAAACAAACCCGACAGGCTTTCCTATAGGTAGTATTTTTTTTCAGTGTTGAGAAACCAAAATTTCACCTTTCTCTCTCCTTAAAAAACTTATAACTGCTTTCATTTAAATAGTGAATAGTGTTGTGGTTTTTTTCCTTATTTGAGTTTCCTGGTTCAGTTCCCAGAGCCGGGCTTCTCCCTCTCTCCCTTTCTCATCTCTCTCTTCCTCTGACTTTCTCTGTCTCTCACTCTTCCTCTTCCTCCTCTGCTTCAGCTTTGTCCTGGCCGGTGTTCCCGGGGCCTGCGGTCTTGTTCTCCTTTTTCCACTTCATGCGCCTGTTCTGAAACCAAATCTTGATCTGTCTTTCCGTGAGGCAGAGCGCGTGCGCGATCTCGATGCGCCGCCGCCGCGTCAGGTATCGGTTGTAGTGAAATTCCTTCTCCAGCTCCAGGGTCTGGTAGCGGGTATAGGTCTGGCGGCCTCGCTTGCGGTCGGTTCCTGTGTATGGTATTTGGAGGAGAAAAATCAGTGAGTGGGGAAATTGCCAAGACAGTGCCCACCTCCCTCTTAGACCCTGTGTGTGAAGTCAGCAGACAGAAGCAGCCCATTTTCTCACTAAAGGACGTTCTCGCTTTCCATACCTCAGCCCATGCTCCATGTTGCCCATTCCCCTAAATGTGTAGAACATTCTACAGGGCTCCAGAGGAAAATATTTCTATTTTCCATCCAAGAAGTTGTTTTCAGCCTGGAGCTTCTGAACCCAAGAGAATCTAACATGCTGGTTCTTGAAGATTCTGCTCCTAACAGGTATATGTACGAAGAGGGGAGTTTAATTCTCCTTTCACTCTCTGAGATCAGGGACCCTAAGCCTCGCCTTTTGGATGCTGATTCTGATGGTCTTGGAGGTAGAGGGCAGTGGGAACCATGCAAGTGGCCCTAGAGTGGGGCTCCAGGCCTGGTCTAGGAGTGTTTCCCAAGAAGAAAAGGAGACAAAGGGGTCTAGCAGGCCCAATCTCCCCACCATCTTCTTGTGGAATGAGGTGATAATTTGCAGATTTCCTTGGAAAATGGAGTCAGTCTGAGAGCAGCTGCCCTCCCTATGATTCTTTCCCAGTGATTGGCTGAGGCTCTGCCAGGGCCAGGCTGTCCTGTCTTCCTGCTTGCCCAGACAACCCAGCTGGCCAAAGTGACCTTTGGGCCTTCAGGAAGGCGCTTGGGGAGAGGAGAGACAGCAGCCTGAGTTAGGGCAGAACATGGAGTATCTGGGTGGTGGGGGCTGAGGGCAGAGGGGAACTTCCCAGGTTAGGCCCAGAACTTGAAGAGACTTGGGAGAGGTGCTGATGTCAGCCCTCCTGGGAAGGAGATGCAGGAGGAGGGGCCAGGGTCCCTTGTTTCAAGTCAGATAAAAGCCAAGCTGAAATGTTTACGAGCAGAAAAATTGGAGCTTTGATAAATCAACTGGAAAGGCAGCTGAATTATGGAGTAGGTAATAGGGACTGTGACCACCAATACGGACAGTGTGAGAGCTGAGTTTCTCCTGGCCCCCCACCTTCCCTAGTGCCTCCTGGGCCTTCTGGACCTTGAGGCTAGCCCCCAAGTTCATCTGCCTTGGGACAACATTAAAAAGGATGTCTGGGCCAAGCTTGGCAGGAGACCCTTGGAATCCCTGGCTTCTTGGGGTTCCTGCAGCAGCTAGCTGGGTGGCCTACTCTCTTTAAATCTTGATTTGGCTCCATGGAGTCCTATCTCCTCCCCCAACAGGAGATTCACCTTTCTAGAGCGACACCTCCAAACTTGTTGGCCAGTTCTCCAGGGGTGCATAGAGCCCTGGGAAGGGCACCTAAGGAAGCCAGCTGTACTACCAGGAGGCCTCTGACCCTTTCTCTAGTTCATCGCCCCCCCCAAGTTCACTGGGGGGTCAGGAGCCTCATCTCTCTTAGCCTCAGCTCCCTCCCTGCACCTGCCTCTCTGGCTCTGTCTCCCTGGCTGGGTCCTCATCTCCTCCCCCCAGGCCTCTAGAGCCCACCTCTAATTGTCCTATTGGGAATAATGGGGGAGCGGGGTTGGCTGAGAAGGAAGGGGGAGGGGAGACTGTTTAGCGCTATGGCCCCCTCCCCCATACCTTATCGGAGTAGGGGCTGAGGGACACACCCAGAACTTAGATCCCTGGCAGAGAAGGGGGGAGAGAAGGGGGAGAACCTAATGGCTATTCTCTGCAACCCCCAGCCTTCCTCCGCAAGACAAACGGCCTCGTCTCCAGCCCGTGCCGGCGCTGCTGATAAATATTTAAAGCTAAAAGGCCGGAGGAAGGGTGGGGGGCGGTATGGGGGCTCGGAGCGGCGTCAGCGAAGAGAGATCCGCCGGGAAGCAGAGCAAGCCTGTGAGCACCGAGCAAATATAGGGGTGGGGGAAGCGCTCTGGGTCAGAGCCAAGGGGGTGCCGTGTCCCCAGGGCACACCCCAGGCCGGGAGCACTCTGGACGCGGAAAGGGTTGCCCGGCCGGGAAGGGGGCGCCTTTCAGGGAATGTGCCCTGCCGTTGCGGCTCGGGACAGTTTGGTACGCGGCGTTACCTGAGCTTCGCATCCAGGGGTAGATCCGGAAGTTACTCTCGGCCGCCAAGTCCGAGTCCCTCTGCTCCTTGGCGCCTGCCGCCTTGGCGGAGTCGCCGGGACACACCCCGGAGAGGTTCTGCTCAAAGGGCGCGCAGTGCATGTTGAAGGAACTCGGCTCGAGCCCGTAGCCGGCCGCGTAGACGCCGGCAGCGCTCTGGCCCGCCATGCCCCCCCCGCCGGGGTACAAGCCCTGCATCGAGGCGGCGAAGGAAGCGCCCGAACCCGCTCCATAGCCCGGGCGCTGGGGGTTGGAAGCAAACGCACAAGAAGTTTGTTCGGGGAAGGCTCCGGTAGCGAAAACCGAACTTGCGGCTGGATATTTAGAAAATAAAGCATTCGCATAATACAATGAACTCATAATTTGGCCGGATGATTTGTAGGCAGGGACGTTTTAGTGTCGGTTTTACGAGATTCCTTGATATATTACAGAATTAGAGTCCAGATTTACACCAAAAAGGACCCCCTTTTTCCTCTCCAGACCACGTGACCCCCGCCCACGTGACGTCCCCTCCGCCAATGGCCCGGCAGCCTCCCCACGGCTCCCGGTAATGTGGAAAAAATTGTGTGGCGTTGGATTTATAAAATATGATCAATAATGAATGGGAAAGCCGAGCCCTGTGGATTGGGGCTGGGGGCTCAAGGGCCGCTGCCGACCCCCGCGGGCTGGAGGCAGCTTGCAGACGAGATTTGGGGAGGAAGGGATTGAGTGGAAGGGAAAATAAATAACCTCCCAGCGATCCGTGTTGTCACCCTCCACCCGTCCTCTCCAGCCGGTTACCGACGGAGCGAGAGGCAAACGCAGGAATCGAATACACGCAACTGGGCTGGTTGGTGGGTGGTGAGTGGGGGCAGATCAGTCTTTATTAAGCCAGGCCAATTCAGCAGGGTCTTTGGGTGAAGTTGGTCGAGTTCTCCTAAGGCAAGGAGCGAGGTAAACCTGGCTCACGGCTCTCTCGGTGCCCCAGATATATGAGCAGAGATGGAGCGAGGCTTCATAGGTGCTCCTAAGACACAGGATCCAGCCTGCGGGCGTTGTACGCTGCAGTTTCTGGTGGCTAAAAAAAAGGTTTGAAAGTGAAACACACACACACACACACACAAACAAAAATGAGGGGTGTTTGCTTGAGTGGATGGGGTGGAGTGCGGTGGGATGGGGGAAGAAAGGAAGGGTGGAGGGCGGCCGGGTCACGCTGCTCTCCCGGTTCCTGGATGCCTCAGTGGAGCGTGGCTACCAGAGAAGCAGAGGCAGGAAGGAAGAAAGGCCACAAGCCTAGGCCTTGGAGCTGAGCGAAGGTGGCCAGGTCCCAGAGAGGGAGAGGTGGGGAAAAGGATCTCCCTTCTCCTCCTATTTCCCCCACCAGACTTCCAGAAAAATAAAAATCTAAAATAGCTCAGCAGTCCTGCGCTCCACCTTTATCCCCCACCCCACACACATAGAAGGACACACATCAAAACAAAGAGGGAGGTGGTAGGGGATACAGCCAGCAGCCCAGACGCATCTCTCCAGCGTGGCCTGGGCGCCCGGGTCTCCGGGGCCGGGCAGCCTCGGAACGCAAGGGGAGGGGGTTTCTCCTGGTTCCCCTCCCTCGTTTTTCTCTCCTCCAATCACGCGCAGCCGCCTCCCTCACCCCCTGCGCCCCTGGGCCAAGGGACTCGCACCACCTGCCTCCAGCCCCCGCCCCTCCTCTCCGCGGCCTAGCCTCGGCAGGCGCTGGAGCCGGGTGACAGGCTCCCCCCGGCTCTGCAAGGCGCCCAGGAGCAAATGAGGAGCGCGGGCCGGGGCAGACTCGGGTTCTCGCTTGTAAACTTTATTGTAACTCTTCCGCCCTTTTCAGGCGCAGACAACAGAACAAAGTATAGAGGAACAACAAAATATATAATTAGCCCTCCCTCCCCCCCATAAAGCAATTCACGGATACAGGATACATTCTCTTCACAGTAAACCTAAGAACACTTTTAACAATTGGCCACAGCGCGCATGCTAACTAAAGCAACCTCTTTTGAGAAACACTTAAGACGAAATTGTCAAACCAAAGGGGGTGGGGTGGGGGAGGAAAAGAGAGAAGCAAGAGAGAAAGCCAGCCAGCTAGGGAGGGCAGCGGGGAGAGAGGGGTTGGGAGGGGAAATGAGGACGCGGCCAGAGAGAGAGAGAGAGAGAGAGAAGAGAGAGAAGAGAGAGAGGGAGACAGAAAGAATTACGGCGTGAATAGGCAGTTTCATGTTGTTGGGAGAACTTAGCAGAAATCGGTACCTCGGTCATTACAAAGAAGCACGTTCAAAGGAAAAAAAGACCATTGCACAAGGAGGCTTTTTACACGGGGCGGGGCGGGGCGCGGGGGAGGGGGCTCAGCCGGCCTCGGCCGCTCACCCTCGCAGGGCGAGGGAGTCCTTGCTTAAAATCCTTTTCTTTTCCCCCGGCCCCCAAGAGAAGGGAAGGAGATCCACGGTAGCTCACACACAGAAGCTATTACGAGATACTACCACTAGCGGGGACTGGCGCGGCGGGGACGCTGCGGCGGGAGGCTCGGCTCCTGGCTCCGCTCGCGGGGCCGGAGCTCGCTCGGGCGAGGGCGGGCGGCGGCGGCGCGGTCGGGGACCGGCGGACGTGCGGGAGGCCGCGGCCCTGGCAGTCCCAGCTGGAGCCTACTTCTTGTCACCCTTCTGCGCATCACCCTCCTCCGCCGCCTCCGGGGCCCGCTCCAGCTTCTGTTTCTCCAGCTCCTCCTGCTCGCATTTGCTGCTGGGGAACTTGTCTTTGTTGTTTTCTTTTTTCCACTTCATCCTCCGGTTCTGGAACCAGATTTTGACCTGTCTCTCTGTCAGTCCCAGCGCATGCGATACCTCGATTCGCCGCTTGCGAGTCAGATAGGGATTAAATAGGAACTCCTTCTCCAGCTCCAAGGTCTGGTAGCGGCTGTAGGTCTGTCGGCCTCGCCTGCGTCCGGCGGCTGCTGGGAATGGGGGAAAGGGCGAGACAGAGGGGAGGGGAGGGGAGAGGAGGTGGGGGAGGGGACAGAGACGGAGAAGGTTGGAAGATTCGTGAACGAGCCTAGGAGACCAGTATAATAAGGGCAAGGGACCTTCTACCCCATGCGGGGGCGGGGGGCGCAGGGAGGCCGTGGTCAGCGGGGGGCGGGGGGCGAGGGGGAATCAGACGCCAGTGAGTCAAAGGAGCCAGAAAGGGGAGCCCCCTCCCCTAGTAACCAGCACCAGAGCTGGATGGAGGGTGGTTCAAATCTATTAAAAGTGCCATAAACTGGAAGGATGTGAAAGAGGGGGAAAAATAAGAATAAAAAAGCCGGGTGGGGACGAATGGACCCACCTTGAAAAGCCCCCAGAGCCTCTGCCCCAGAAGAAAAGTTTCTTCAGGGTAATTAAACTATAAAGCAATTGAGAAGTGCAAAAGTTGAGCGCCCCCACTCCCACCACCCTCTCTCCACTACCCCCCATAAAACAGTAAAAGAAAAAAAAGGAGGGGAAGGAGAAGAAAAGTAAGGCAGGGTGAGGGGTTTATGGATTCAGGAAATGTCGCTTAGCGACCCCCCTTCAAGGGAAACAAAAAAGAAAGAAAGAAACCCAAAAAAAGAAAGAAACGAAGGAAGGAAGGAAGAAAAGGAAGAAGCGGGAGGCGACCGGAACGGAGCCCGCAAGTCTTCCAGTAGCCACAGGGAATGCGCCCGGGCCTGCCGAGGCCCCCAGCCCGGCCTTGGGCCCTCCTGGCCCGCCCTGCCCCGCTGGTCCCGCCGCGAGCTCACCTTGAGGGCGCATCCAGGGGAACAGCTGTGTGGGCGACGGGCTCTGCTCCGAGCCCTCAGCCTCCTCGCCCAGGCCGCTGGCGGCTGCGAGCTTGCAGTCTGCGTACTGCACCAGGTCTGGATCCTGCGCACCGAACAGGCTCTGGCGCTGCAGCGGGTCGTAGCCGTAGAAGTTGCCCGGGTCCCCGTGGCACGCCACGGCGCACGGGTTCTGCTGGTAGGGAGCCGTGGACAGCGACGATGGCCCGTGGTAGAATTCCTGGATTTGCGACGGGTGCTGGAAGCTGCCGCCGCTGCTGGGACCGTACACCACGGTGGGTCGGCCGCCCAGGTCCTGGGCGAAGCCGCAGTCATAATAATTGGGGCGCAGGGACTCCCCGGTTTTGTATTTGGAGAACAGTGAGTTGACGAAATAAGAGCTCATTTTATTGAATTTTGAGGCGGCGGCGGCGGCGGCGGAGGCTGTAGTTGGGGGCTGTTGGGGAGGGGGTGGGGAGGGGGAAAGGGAGGGAGAGAGAGAAAAAAAACGCGGATTCGCCGGCTCCTAGTCACCCTCGCCAGGAAAGGAGAGGGAAAGGGAGGAGGAGGAAAAAAAAAAAAAAAGAAAAGAAAGAAAAGGCAAAGAAGATCTCGAAGCCGCCACACTTTTTGTGATTTCCAGGAATAGAAAAGGACAGAGAAGCCTCCAAAAGTCTAAGCTTGCATGGCAGCCGCGGCTCGCTCGCCCTCCCCCCACCCCCCACCCCCCAAACAAAAATATACCGCCACTTAAAGAGGTCCTCGCTTTACATTTCGAAGAAGGGATGCCAGTTCATAAACAGTTTTCGGTGATTTACTTCCCTGCAAATGAGTTGTTTCATATTTTGCACTGTCTTTTCATGATCATTTGCATCCATTAGAGACCCCGCATCCTATTGGCTTCTTCGTACTCCTCCCGGACAGAACGCAGAGCGAGGGTGCGAGCGAGCGAGAGCGAGCGAGAGAGAGAGCGAGAGCGAGAGAGCGCCAGGGAGTGAGGAGAGAGCGAGGAAAAAAAAAAAGAGGAGGGGAAGAAAAAAAACACCCAGGGAGAGAGAGGGGGAGAGGGGGAGAGACAGAGGGGGAGAGGGAGAGGGGGTGAGAGAGAATGAATACGGATTAAATCTGTTTAACTACCTACATTAATGAGATATCTCTCGCCTCACAACAAATCAAATACCTTCGCAGACCACCCCCAAAGACTGATGTGGGGGAGTCATGGAAAAAAACCACGCACACACACATACACAACGCGCCAGGCGTAGGCACGCTGTTAATTTCGCGATTTTAACGAGGCAATTGGAGTCTTTCTAAATGTCAGGGTCGCTTCGGAAAAATGTAAAAGAACACGGTTTAATTGCGCCGAGTTTTAAAAGGTCCTATAAATGTAATTGGTATTTTAATACAAGTTATCAAATCATACAGCTTCCTCTCCTAAACATATTTTCAAACAAACGAGGTAGTCATATTTAAAGCTTTAATGATCAATTTCCTTATTATTGATAAAGGTTTAACTGTCGTGTGGAGGGAATTGGCTGGGTAGCCGGCCCCCCAAAAAAACGGCTGTAAACTCTTTAACAAACTATAAAACGCAATAAAGCCGGAGTCTGTTGTTGTTTATGCCGCAGCGCATAAAAGCTGTTAGCATTTTACGAGTTCTTTCCTCTACAGCTATAAAACTGCAGCTTCGATCGCCCCCGCCGCCCGACTGCAGCACCGTGGGGGTGACGAAGCCGAAATGAGAACGATTATGGGTGGTTTTTTTTTTTTTTTCGGCGCAAACGGTGACTTTTCCCGAGATTTTTGCCTCCTTCAGCCTTGGCAGGCACCTGCCTCAACCCCCTCTCTCGAGCCCCCGAAAGGTCCCCCCTCTGCCCTGACCTGGCCAGTCACACAACTTTCTTTCATTAAACAAATAAGCAAGGATTTTCTGTGGAGCAGGGGTCTGGGAGAGCTTGAAGAGGGATGGGCAAGGGGAGAAGAAACTTTCTGGTTAATGGGCGGCGGTGAAGCACGGAGCAAAGTTCGCTGGCGGCGCAGATTCTGTGGTTCTGCACAATCTAGGCTTGCTGGCAGGAGTGCTGAAACCGGGGCTCCTGAACCCACCTCGGTTCAGTCAGTGCTTTCCGGGCAGACTTTGCATGAGGGGAGAAGGGGTCTGAGGCTATCAAAGGGATGACATGCCATGGGGCGGCCCTGCACCTGCACTCAGGTCTTGGGACCCAGTAAACAAGCCTAGTTAGCTCCCAATCTTCCCTGACCCCCCCCACCTTCTGTGGCGCCCCAGGGTGACAGGGCACTCTCAACCCCAGACACGCATCAAAAGGAGGGAAGGGCAATGGAGGCTCCTGCTGGGCGCCCAGGCCCTGGCACCTGGCCTTGGTACCTGCTGTTCTATGCTCTGGGCTGCCCTGGGCAGTGGCTTCAAGGTACATGTTTGGAGGGGGACATCTCCTATTTGTCCTCAGTGTCCCCAACATCCTTAGAGCCACTGTCACTACCTAACCTGACTTTAGGGTGGAGGAGATTCAGATAGAGCTGAGTACCCCATTTTATCTCCTCTCCCCTTGGAGAGCCTCTAGTTAAACTCAGCTCTCCCTGAAGACCTGGGGACCAGAGGCCTAAAACACAGAATGCTGGAGCAAGCTGATAGGGGCACATGCTATGCCCACCACCTTCCCTGCCTGCTGGGCCTAATGATGGTGATGGCCAGGCTTTAGAAGGTCCCATTCTTGGGTCAGAACCAATGGCCTCCTGAAGCAGCCCCATAGGCAAAGGAAAGGAAAGGAAGAAGAGAGAGAAAGAAAATTTCTAGCAAAATACAAATACATTCGATCCATTGTTTATTCAGGAGAGAGTGGTTTGCTTTTGGAGGGGGACTTTTTGGGGACCCCCTACACCCCAAACTTTATAAAAATGAATTTATCACCTTTTCCAAGGGAAAGTTACCAGTGGGGTCACATCTGCAATAGTGAATCCAGAGAATGGGAGAGGGGCTAAAAGGGGGAGAGAAGGACAGACAGACAGACAGGCAGAAAGGAAAAAAAAAGAAGTAGAAAGAACCAGGGTTTTGAATTTTCAGCGCGTGGCTGAGGGGGCCGTGAGGCAAAGGAAGGCAGACTTAAATTGTTGCCGAAGCAAACATTTTTATCAAGTGCCGGGGATTTTATGGTCATGATCTGAGGACTCACCAGCGAGGTAGAAATTCAATGGCTTGTTCTAAATCATCCCTACACCGTGCCAGAAATTCCTGATGGAAGGAAAATGTTTCTATTATAAGAAAAAACAAGAAAGAGTGAGAAGATAATTTATAAACACCCAACGGAGCGCAGATTTATTAGAGAAACTCAAGTTGAGGGGAAACTCCGCTTGCCTCTTTGCTCTGGGTCCTGGGGGGTAGGGGGAGGCTGTGGCCAGGGTAGTTTTGAGGGGGGTGGAGTATCTATTGCCGGCGCGGGTTTGTCCGGATGGGAGGCAGGGATCTGGCGGGGCCTGGAGGAAACAGAGATTTGGAATCCAAGGGGCTGTGGACAGCCGGAGCGCAGACCTCAGAAGGAAAGTGTCCCGCATTCAGGCCTCCAGCTTCTAAATTAGGAAAGACCTGTGCCCCCAGGTTTGCCTGGGGCCAGGGCCCGGGCGCGGGAGCCGCAGCTCTCACCTGGAAGCCGAGGCCGCTCAGAGAACCGAGCTCCTGCTCCCCGACGCCGCGCCCGCGCTCACACCGACCCGGAAAACGCGCGTTCTTTTGGCGGCCCAACTTGGGGCGCTCGGAGCATCCCGAGGAGATATCCGAGCCTTCCCGCCCCCCGCCGCCCTGGGGAGCCCGGGCCCCTAGCCTGGGTCACCCGGCGCGCGCCCAGCCCCGACCGTACAAAGGCTCTGGAGCCTGCGCCCGTGCGGAGCCGCCCCTCCCGCTTTGGGCAACTCCGAATTTCCAAGAAACCGTGGCTCCATTCCCTGCAAATTGGGAGCCCCCCGGCTGGCTCACCCAGTTCCCTCTCGGGCCGGAGTGGGCAGCCCCCTCGGGGCAGCTTCTTCTCCATCGGACCTCATTTTGCCGGTTCGCCCCTCTCACCTGACCTGCTCACCCGCATCCGAGGACATTCCTTTCGCCCCCCTCCACGGAAAATCTCATTGTTCTGAATCAATTCTCCTTTTTTATTTGGACCCATTATTCCTATCATTACTATTATTCCCCGTTTTCACGCATTTGTTGCCCTAGCGAGTACAGCAACTGGGTGAGAAGCACTGATTCCTCCTCGTGGGGGAAATTCAGAAAATTGACCATTTGCGGAGAGGGGGGAACACCACTATATCTGAAATCTATAAAATGAGCGGGGGAAGGCCATAACGAACCCTATTTTTTTTATTACGTGCAAATTATTCATGACTTTTGGTAGCGCTCAGTTCATAGATTCAGGGCCGACCAAGGTGCGGCGTGGAGACGCGGACGTCCGCAGCCGCCGCACCGGGGATTTTTCACGTGGAGCAAGGGTGCCATCTAGCGGCCGCTCCGCCAAAAAGCGTCGCCGCCACCGGCTCGGCCAGGTTCTCCAAGAGCCAGCCAGCCGCGGAGGCGACCAGCGAGAGAAACTTACATTATTAGCAGAAAAGGGGGAGGGATGGGACAGTGGACCAGAGGAAAGGCATCAGAATCAGGAAACGGTTCATGAAATTGTGCAAATAAGCTAATAAAAAAAACATGGAGGGGGGAGGAAAAAAAGAAGCTATAAACTTTCTTTTTCTACTTACACACCCCCACCAGCCCCTAATTTCTAGCGGAGACCCCCAAGCTGTGCACCCGTTTATGGCCCGTAAAAGGGAGAACCGAGCACTTTTCAAACTCCGAGAAAAAACAACTGGGCTTTTTGTGGGGGGAGAGGAGGCCTGAGAGGATGGGATGAGACTGTAAAAGGATCAAGGGTCTGCCCGCGCCCAGACGTCTGGCCCCGCCGGACCTGCGTGCGTGTGTGTGTGTGTGTGTGTGTGTGTGTGTGTGTGTATGTGCGCGCGCAGGGGGCTTCTCATTTATGGTGCCTGATTCTGGAGGGGGTGTGAAGAACAAAGAGTCCGAATTGCGAATTGCGATCTCTGAAGCATTTGCGACAACAAAGTGTTCTTCCCTCCCCCTTTCCCTCGTCTCCCCTCTTTGCCCCCTGGGGCCCGGAAGCCCCAAGCCCGAGTTCTGGGCCGGTGAAGGTGGGGGCTGCGAGCGGGGCCCACCCATTCCCCCCGCCAGGCTCGGAGCCCAGGCCCAGCTGCGGCTCTCTCAGCTCCGGAAAGTTTCCCCTCACTGTTTGCTTTGCTGCTGTTTAGTTTCTTAACCTTCAGAAATTTATACGCTATAAACTTTTATAGCGGTCATATTCTTTTATTGCTGCGCACACGGCATTGAATTCCTCTCTCGGCTTCTCTCTGCCTCGCACTCTCCCGGTCTCTCTCTCTGACTCTCTCTCTCTTTTATGACAACCGATTTCCCCATCTCCGGCTTCGGGAGCCTCCGCATCTTCGCCTTTGTTTGTCTTTAAAGAAGCAACCCGGGGCTCGGGATCCAGACGCGGCTGCCGGAGGCCCCTCCGCGCGCCTGGCCCCCTACCCCGCTGCACCGCGTCGGCTTCCAGCCTCACTTTCGCGCTTCCTTTTGGCAGAAGTCGG